TTGCTTAAACCTAATGTGTGAAATGTAGAAAGCCGTGGCTGGGGACAGAGGCCTTTTTGGTACCACAATTACTTTTCATGTGTATACGAGGCTTTGTGCCTGTGTATTGATTAATCGTTTTCTTTTACATGCATTTGTTGTAATTCTCATGATAGCCCTCACCGTAATGATGCTGAGTGTGTGTTGGTGTGGGCGTAGGAGACCGTTGTTTTTTCCCTTCCGCGCTGTTTCTCGCGCGGCTGTGCTGGTGTTGACCTCCTTCCATCCTCCTTTCCCTTCTTGTTGGACGGCACCCCTCGCCAGCCGCAGACACACACACAGGCAGGCAGGCAGGCAGGCAGACGCAACGAGCACCACAGCGGACGTGGCACTGCGATGTTCCACTGTAACACAGAAGGCTGCGGCGCCTGCTCGGAGTCTGGCGTCGGCACGGCGGCGTGAGCGTGCGTTCACTCCGCGCTGCAGCGTCTTTAGCGTTACACGGCTGACGCCGCGGTGAATGCGCCCTGGTTGCTTAGCTGACATGCGATGAGTCCTTCGCTTCTTTTTCTTCTTTTTTTTTGTGTGGTGGGGCGGTGCGGGCTGCGTGAGGTGGAAGAACGGAAGGAAGCAGAGACTTGTTTTTTGTTCGGTGTGTAGGGAATAGAGGTGGCACGTGAAGGAGTGCGGAAGAGAGGGGGAACAGAAAGGCAAAAGGGAAAGGAGAACAAAAGGTTGGGGAGCAGGGACGTACGGGCAAAATGCCGATGGGCGGTTGTGTCGCCGTCGCCGTCGCGCTGCTGTTGCTCCTGGCGCACGGCGAGCCAGCGGTGGCGGGGCAAAGCCAAGGCGACGCGGCGCCGCGCCCTCCACGGAGGCGGATCGTTGCCTTTGGCACCCTCACCGCGGCCCCCGCGAGCTACGTGGCGAACAGCGAGGCGGGGGCGGAGGGGCGCCAGCAGCGGGAGCTGCAGCAGCTGGGCCGGATGCAGGAATACAGCTACCGCGTCGCCGCCAGGAACAGCGTGGTCCCCATTGAGGTGGAGGCGGGCAGCAGGCATCTGCTGGAGTTCACCGGGGAGGCAGACAACGTGGTCAGCATTGTGGCCCAACTGCTGGATAGCCGCTACGATGAAAGCGTCTCGCCGTCGAACTGCTTTGGTCTTTACGTGAATGTGGAGGTGCGCCTGAAGGACGCGGATGAGGAGGCGGGGGGCGACCACACAGGCACCGCGGAGGGGCCGTCTGGGCCGCCGCGACGAAGCAAGCCACCGAGTGCATGGGCAACATTTTGGAACGCGATGGCGACTATTCTTGACAGCAGTTCCTTTTGCGACGTCCTGCCGACGGTGATGCTGCGTCTGGAGCCGGCGCCGGTGGCATTGCAGCACTACCTCATCATCAGCGCCCGCCACGGGTACACGCTGCCGATCCACAACTACACCTGCCAGATGCGTCTGTTCTTTGAGCAGATGCCCGCTGAGGAGATGTTGCAGATGCAGAATGTGTTTGCGCTTGGCCTGCCGCTTGCCTTTTTGCTTCTGACGGCGCCGTTTGTGC